TTTCTCAAGATCTTATACAAATTAGGGGCTCTTCTTAATACCATTCTTGATTCCTTTCGACTAGCAATTTCTTTCATTACACTATTCATACTACTATTATAAGTAAACTTTGTGATCCTAGTAGGAACATTCCTTAAATCTCTTCTTACTATGCCCCTTTCATACTTCTTAAGCATTCCTACAATTATATTTTTTCTGTAACCCAGGGTCCGGGCCACCTGCAATATTCTATCAATCTCCTTCTCCCTGTCAGCGACTCGGTCACAATATAAATAGGCTCTCCTTATTAACGCTCGGAAGGCTGCCATCTTATACCGATATGGATCCATGGATTGGGATGGTATATATAATGGGGTGTGTGTAGGTTTAATATAAACACTTGTGGACAAATGTCCTTTCATAAACCGGATATTAATGTCCAAGAAGTGCACATTCAAGGAACTCTTTTGTTTTAATCTCAATTTAAGTCCATCTTTGTTACCATTAATTCTACTCATAAATTCATGCACCCTACTATCATTTCTCCATAAGATAAGGATGTCATCCACATACCTGCTGAAATATACGATATCTTGTTTGAAACTATGAAGAACCCTTCTTTCTAGTCTTCTAACAACTAACAACTAATTCACAAAGGATTCCTGAGAAGGGACTTCCCATCGGAACACCTCTTTTTTGTCTGTAGACCTGACCAGAAAAGGTGAAGTACGACTCATAGCATACTAGGTTAGCCAGTTATTCTAGCTCGTGGGTGTAAAGAAGCAACTGGGAGTTCATTATGTACAAGAAATCTAATAACGCATCCAAGGAAGACTCAATCATTACTGAAGGATACATGCTCTCATAATCTAAAACTGTCGCCACTTCATCTTCCATTAAAGATATACCTTGTATTTCCTTGACAAAAACAAGAGGATCCTGTGCCACTAAGACTATCAGCATCAAAGTGTGAGGATAAATACTCGTCCAACCTTTTTTCTAATATAAAGGTGGGTCCTCTGCATTTCTCTATAACTGGCCTTAACTCCATTCCGGTCTTGTAAGTCTTAGCGAAAGCAAACAATCTTGGAGTTCCGGGCCTTGGGTTCTGGCATTTCTTGAGAAAAGGTAAAACAGCAAAAAGTCCCTAGAGTTCCAGCTTCCTGGCCCTTCTGTCTAAAAATCCAACTACTTTGTCGCCAACAATTTCACATTCCGTCTTTTTGATGTAATTATGCAACTTCTTGTTATAAGTATGCCTTCTCATGATAACCAAATGCTTAGTCTTGTCTGCTGTTGTCATCACGAGATCATTTATCTTTAACTACTCCTTCGTGAGCCAAATGTCCTTTCTAGTAATATCATCTATCCTGTTCTTCGGCCGGTTGTTAATGACCGCTTTCCATCTAAAGTATTTTCCTTTATTCTTTTTCTAATGCATCCAGTCCAACTATCCCTCTCTCAATCTCTTGTACTGATGTTTCGCAACCACCTTCCTCAGCGGGGACAAAGTTCGGGTTTTTTTCCAGAACCTGCTTAATTTTCATTGGTATTTCTATGTGGTCCATACGTAGAAGGTACTAAGGTTCTTCCTATTATCTCTTCTTACTTGCTTGTGAATAATCCATTTAAACTTTTTCACATGTTGCTTATTGGAATTCCCACAAACAGCTTCTGCCAACTCCACCACCCTTTTATTGATATCAATTAGTTTGGCCGGATCATCATTATATATGGTGTCCTCCAAGCAAATAAGCTGACTCAATATCCCATGCTTTTTGTTTCTGGCTAATGGACTTTTTGAGGCACTCCAAACAGAACCTAATTTTTAGAGAACGGCATTCCGTAGGAATGCTAATTCGGTAAATCGACATGGAATACACCTTATTCTTTAAACATTCTTTTAAAAACTCCAATTTACAACTAGCTTTAACAAGCTTTAACGTCAACTTCCTATATCTCTTGCAAGTTTCCACCGGTGCTGCTATAAAAACAATATCAATAATTGCTGAGCGCTTTTGACGCCATTACTACGAATGCAAACCGAAAGTTACGTCATTTCAATTCAAATATCCTCCACAAATGTATTAGATGATAGGCATAACTCTATTGTTACAGGAAAAGTATGATGTACAGGAAAAAGCCACTACTAATTTGAGGTGAGGAGAGCGTGTCTTTGAAATGAAATAAAGTTAATATAAAAATTTCAGCCTAGGACTTTGACCATGTTATAATCCATAATTACTTGTTTACGTATATCTTACCTTTACTTTTAACGTTAAGATAAATACTTATTAACTGTATATATTTATATTCCTACAGTCATATAAATTGTTTAATTATCTTTCTCTTCAGACCACAGTTCGTTATGTTATTACAAAAAAACGAAGAAGGGCCTGTAGTGTTAATTATAGATAAAAAGTTAAAATAATTATTAAAATAATCGTACAAAATATAATTTATATTTATTATAGACTATAAAAGAGATGAATTTCGTGTTATAAAATATGACACGTTCTTATATCACGTGACGCCAGTATAGTACAGCAAGAAAAAATAACGAATACTTCTCAATGAAGGAATTGAAGTACAGTAAAGCGTTGTTTATTCGAATCAATTGGGGACTGGGGTTCTTCGGATAACTTATTTTTCGGATAACCGATTATGCACGAAAAAATATATTAACCTATCCCGTGTTAAAAGTTTTCTCCGTTGCGTGTCGCTTCGCGTTGAATTTTCGTCGATGTTAAGCCTAACGTAAACTTTTTAAAATAGAAATCGTGGCTATTGTATCGTTAAAAATGATTTCTGTATGTTTTACAAACGAAATAAATACATTGAAAAATATAAAAACAAATAAAAATTATACTTTAGGCGGACTGGAATTCTTTCGGATAACCGACGCTCTACTGTATTCCAATTCTTCCATAATTAGTTGTTATATGTAATCCATTATATATTATTTAACTTTTTTGTGAGTGTTATATTGCTTGTGTTGCTGCCTCTTCTGATCAGAGGAAACACACTAGTTCCTATCTGTTACCTCTGCAGTTAGTTCCATTCATTCGTTATGGAATGGTGTCAGCGCGAATGGGACAACAGTAATTACTGATCTACATATCCACGATTGCATGCTTCAAGTAAAACAAAGGATTCTTCACAGCTACTTGGAAACAACTCTTTATGTAACACAGATCTTAAATGCACACGGCAATTTCAATCACTAATAATTATTAGATTCTCAAATCAATTAATTGCTCATTTACTTATTAATAGCGAGCAGACTGTGAATCAATAATCTAGTAGTTAAATGGATTCATCAATAGAAAGAAGAAATTCTTTAAAAATGCTGGAAGAAATCAGGAGATAAGTACTAAAAACAGATGTTATCTCTCAATAAAGTGAATATTTTTTAACTTTTATCATAATACTCGTAAAGATATTATTTTATTTTTTGAGATACAAAATGAAATTTTACATTATTCATATCACGTAAAATATATTGTTTTATTGTAAATTAAAACATATGCATTTTTATCACATATTTTTTTATTTCAGAAGGAAATGGAATCGAATTACGTATGGAAAATTGCAGGAATCGATGTAAATTTATTTATTTTTAAAAGTTATGTAGAACTATACAATTCAGTTAAAGTTTTATTGATTATTTAGGAGCCTATGTGGATAAACGTGAATCAATCTAACAATCAAATAATTTGGGCACTTCGGTTTTATGTATTTAAAATGCTTCAGGAAAAATTAAAATTTAGGTAAAATTAAACGAGTTTAATATTCTTATAAAAATGAGACTGTAGAACAGATTATCGATTTAATAAAATTACGAAAAATTGAAATTTTTATAGGTATGAAGTCATTCAACCCATGCCAAAAACAGTTCTACAAAGGCATTCGAATGGAAGTTATTATGGAATGATAGCCCAGATAATTAATAAGGTATTTCTAGTTAACCATTTATTTATACTTATAATTATTCATGTTCTATGAATTTGCATATTGTAATTATTTTTCTGATAGGAAGCGGACATGTCCGCTATTCCTCTGTATCTGGAAAAGGATGTCTTCGACTTGGCTGATTATTCTTCGATTACTCATATGACACCGATACATTTTATAATCAAAGAACAGAAATTGAAGCCGAATTGGAAAACCATTTTTAGACCATTTACATTCGAGGTAAACGATAATACAATTCTATAACAACGTGATTTATCTTTTTTTTTTCTATTTGATAATCTTAAATCGTGTTGTGACTCTTCTTTGATTCATAAACACTATGTAGTGTAATAAATTTCCAACATTTGGAGTCCTATCATCTTTATTTAATTTAGTTGATACTAAACTGAATCTGAACTTATCAACGGAATAGAATCAAAATTTCTATCTACATCTTCATTCAGGATATTTCAAAGTACCATATATATTTTTTCAAGAATGTTTCTTCAAAAATGTGAATCTAAGATGTAGTTGTTTTCTGTACACTGTTATGTTTGTTTCAAGACTTGTGTGGTGCAGTAAGTTTGGTTGATAAACTCGTTCATTTTTATTGTACATTTTATTGGTTAGCGTGGTTTTCTAGCTTTAGTGGTCTGTGAATGCATTGCCACAGAAACACCTAGGCTAGGTTGGTACCTCACGTCTGTCGAGGGCATTGCAATAGCTTTGCTCGGGCCGGCGCTGCCTTTGCCACCAAGGGAGACTGTTGCCTATTTTTCTAACGTAAGACTATGCTTAACTCACGACCGCGGATCTTGTTAACTCGAGCGATGTCCGAGCGGTATCACACTTTGATCTGGTTAGTACCATGATAAATATCACCATAGAATATGGGTGTGGTCACTGTTAGTTTCATTTCTCCCCATAGACTTTATTGGCGTGAGTGTTTCTACCAGGAGCTTGTGCTCCAGACTGCATTGCTCTATGGATCAGTAAAATTACTGGGCTCTCCTACCACGACTAGGTAGTGACAACGGGAGAGTTAATAGATTCATCAATTCTTTAATTATTTCTCTTAGATGTATTTAGAAAAAACTTTTTTACAAACGTTGGATGTGAGGTTTTTCAAATATTATCTGTGCAATTGCATTTTTATTCTTTATAACATTTTTTTTACGAAAATCGTTCATTAATACTGCAATGTTTCCTTTATATTCATTGTCGATTTCTTGAGAATTTATTAAAATATTACTTTTTAAAGTAATATAGATTTTAAAGCTATTTTACCCTAAGAACTATTAGGAATTTCATTTGATAATCTGTAAATATTAATTTTTCTTCGTTGATTTAAATACGTAGTTATCACTACAGAAAGATTCTATTCTGCCATCGATTTGGAAGACTTTTTTACACTAAAATTACATTCATGTGTTTTATTCTGTGGTAATTTCAATTATGCTGCTTTATTGCAAGCCGGTTATATTCGCGAATACGTTTTACTAGAAATACTGAGTATTAATAAGTTTTTTAAATTTTTTCTTTTGCTTAATATTAGATTTTCATATTGTGGTAATGATGATGATATCAAATATATCTTTTTTTTCACCACATACATTCTATTTTAAGGCAAATTTTGGTTATTGAATATGTTAGATATAAATTATAATATTGTAAAGTTAATTTTTTTTTAATTTNTTATAATATCGAGACCAGGTCGCTAATTAGTCTGGAAACGGGGGACCTAATTCTTGCATTCTGTGAAAACGGGTAAGATTGGCTATAATGTAATTATCTTAATTTTCACTATCGTTACTTTTTGCCCACAAATAAAAACCCAGCGAAGCGGGTCAATGCAGCTAGTATATATATAAAAAACTATATTACATATAAATGTACGAAGAAATAAAAACCAAGCGAAACGGGTTCTTGCAGCTACTATATCATAAAATATGTTATCAATCATGTAAAATGAAAACAGTAGTGAGAAAGTGTTAAGCAATCTCACGTGAGATCGTAACTTTAGTTTATTAAAGGTAAAAATTATATTTTAATATTTAACTTTTCACATAAGCCGTGGGAGGATCCTGGACTTTCGTCTACCCGCATTTCATGGATTCTCAGAGCCACTGTATAGTAAAAGTAGATAAACAATACACAGTAGACTATGTGTTTATGATTAAATTATAAAAAATCAAAACATTTCTATTCAGAAATATTGATTACCGTTATTTAATTAACTTTACTTTTCTAATAAAGAATACAACCAAATTTAATTTTCCCAACAATATGAAATATGAAAAGATTGCTACCTTTTATATTCATGTTTAAATATTTATTTTAATACATTTGGTTTGTATTATTGTTTCATTTATTTCTGAATTTTATTGTGAAAAGTTATTTTTAGGTTAATAATTAAGGAACTACAGTCTGAATCGATATATTTGAAAACGTTATTTGTGAAAAATACAATAGTGTTCTAACAAAATTTGCAGTACTTTTCAGTACATTCAATAATTAAATTTTTATTCTTGGTGCTTATTTGTCAACTTTATATATTTTCTTTATAGCTATTAAAAGTACCAATTGAGCAGACGATTGATAAATATTCATAAACTTGTTAAATTAAATCGAGTAAATCCAATGTAGTTTTTACTTATTTAATTATCGAATAATCATTATCATCAAACCAACATGTTTCTTTTAAATCTATTAAAAAAAAAAGCAAATAAAGTCTGTTTATGGAATACTTTGTAGTGTACACGCTAAGACAGAGCATTCAAATAAATAATACATCATACTTAATTAAGACGTGATCTTACATAACACATTTCGTGATACATCTTTTCAGAAAAATTTATTTTTCTGATATACAAGACATTTTTCTCTGTTAAAAGCATTGAAAAAAGTAAAATTAAATTTAAATTATTTTAACTGTGACATGGTCACAATGCTGTGCTGCAATTTCGTTCTCGAGATTACGGGCATAAAGCCGGACGGACAACGTACGATAGTGGAAATTTGTAGATCTACAATTTTTTCAAATTGAAGCCCAGAAACCTTCGAATACTTCGAATTCGTGTTCAATCGGTTCATTCGCAGTTCAAGGCTTTACATGCATTTTAAGAAGAATTCCTGTCAGATAGAATAAGAGAAGCGAGATCCGAGTTCCCATCCGCAACATCTTGTGAATAATGTGCCCCAATTATGTGGACACACCTGAAGTTTACACTCCTGATCTACACTATTCTATTAAGCACCCATCACGCGCCTACCTATACTGGAAACGTGTCCGAACCCACAATCAGTACGATTAAAAATAAACACTTTCATTTCTGCAGGACAGAAAGAGTTAAATCAATAAAGCTTGAATTAATTATAAGTAAGGAATGTTTACAAGAAATACGTTTTTACTAATGTTATTTATTATTTTCATCAGGATTTTTCATCACTCGACTGAAATTCCCTGAAGTGTTCTTAGTTTTTATATTACTATGGTTTTACATAATACAATTTATTTATTTAATTGGTTAAAACCGATAGCCTTAACATGATATTTGAATGAAGAGAAACAAGAGATGGCATAAGACGAAATTTGTTAAAAGTTCTTCTTCCTTGTTTCTGTTCTTACAACATATTCAATTATTTATTAGCGTAATTTATATTAGAAAAAACACACGTGCTCTATAGAATAGGTAATTAAATTGAATAAGAATTGATTTTAACGTAACACACCGTATACAATTTATTCTAAATACTAAATCTGGTCGTTACATGCAACAACACGTCACGAATAAGTCCAGAGACAAATCTAATTTTATATTCTGCACCACTACGTCATATCTTCATCGGGAGAAATTACATATTTAGAAGACACTAAAAATTAAAGTGCATAAGCAGAGTATCAAGGTATAAAATTAAATTATATATTTATATAGTATTTTTTATGTATATAAATATTTTATACATAATTATATAGTAAGTCGGGAAAGATTGTTATACTTTTGTTTGCATAAGACTACCTCTCCCAGATTTATATTTTAGAAATCATGACTCGGCATTTGAACCTTGGGTGCGTTGAAGGTAGACACTGTTTGCATTTATATCCATATTCTGGAGGAAAATTATCTAAATACATGTACTTTACGTTAATTACTATCTACCCGAACATATGGGAAGATGAATCAAAGAAAAACTCAATGGAAAAAATAAGTATACATTGATTATTATGGAAAGTATATTAAGTTACAAATATGTTATTTATTTATAATATCAGAAGCGCTCAGCAATTAAATAAAGAGAAACAAAACACCTTTTTTGCCGAGAAATAAGTATAATTGTAAAAAAACAAACGTTTTCAGCCCAATTAATAGATCACGTTCAGGTTGAAAACGAAAATAGAACGTAAATGTTCTATGAATAGAACATAAAAATTTTAAATAAAAAATTTTTACAAGAGAAAAATAACGGAAGAATATATAAAAATTGAAATAAAACAAATAATGAAACAAAAAATAACATAAATCTTCAATGTACTAATTCTGGTTCAAGTTTCTAATAAATTTCTTAACCAAGTACTTCCATGCCGAAGGCAGACTCTCGGCATCCCTCGCATTTAAATGGCCTTCTCCTATCCTAGTTCTGTATATTTCTATCTTCTCCGCCGTCATTGCTAAAGTTTGGGAAGACAGAGGTTTGATGATTGTTGCCTCGTCACATTTTAACTGAGCCTTGGGCTTGCGCCATTTGGAACAAAATCGTTGAATTAGACGCTTTTCTTATGACATATCTATGTTCTTTGAGCCTTACTCTCAAGTTTCTTGTGGTGACGCCAATATAATCTTTTTTAACATCCAGTTGTAAGNTGCCTAACCTATAACCAAAGTCTCCTTTTAATTTGTTTTTTAAAAAAAGCGCTTGACAAACTTGCCCCGCATGCCGAAGTTGCCCAGGTCTCCCCTAAGTAAATTTCGTGAGCGTAGTAGGAACATTACTTAAGGTTCTTTTTACTATGCCCCTTTCATACTTCTTAAGCATTTCTACAATTACACTCTTTCTGTAATTTAGGGTCCGGGCCACCTGCAATACTCTATATATCTCCTTCGCCCTGTCACCGACTCGGTCACAATATAAATAAGCTCTCCTTATTAACGCTCGGAAGGCTGCCATCTTATACCGATATGGGTCCAGGGACTGGGAGAATATATACAATGGGATGTGTATAGGTTTAATATAAACGCTTGTGGACAAATGCCCTTTCATGAACATGTATTAATGTCCAAGAAGTGCACATTCAAGAAACTCTTTTGTTTTAATCTCAATTTAAGTCCATCTTTGTTACCATTGATTCTACTCATAAATTCATGCACCCTACTTTTATTTCTCCATAAGATAAGGATGTCATCCACATACCTGCTGAAATATACGATATCTTGTTTGAAACTATGAAGAACCCTTCTTTCTAGTCTTCTAACAACTAACAACTAATTCACAAAGGATTCCTGAGAAGGGACTTCCCATCGGAACACCTCTTTTTTTTGTCTGTAGACCTGACCAGAAAAGGTGAAGTACGACTCATAGCATACTAGGTTAGCCAGTTATTCTAGCTCGTGGGTGTAAAGAAGCAACTGGGAGTTCATTATGTACAAGAAATCTAATAACGCATCCAAGGAAGACTCAATCATTACTGAAGGATACATGCTCTCATAATCTAAAACTGTCGCCACTTCATCTTCCATTAAAGATATACCTTGTATTTCCTTGACAAAAACAAGAGGATCCTGTGCCACTAAGACTATCAGCATCAAAGTGTGAGGATAAATACTCGTGCAACCTTTTTTCTAATATAAAGGTGGGTCCTCTGCATTTCTCTATAACTGGCCTTAACTCCATTCCGGTCTTGTAAGTCTTAGCGAAAGCAAACAATCTTGGAGTTCCGGGCCTTGGGTTCTGGCATTTCTTGAGAAAAGGTAAAACAGCAAAAAGTCCCTAGAGTTCCAGCTTCCTGGCCCTTCTGTCTAAAAATCCAACTACTTTGTCGCCAACAATTTCACATTCCGTCTTTTTGATGTAATTATGCAACTTCTTGTTATAAGTATGCCTTCTCATGATAACCAAATGCTTAGTCTTGTCTGCTGTTGTCATCACGAGATCATTTATCTTTAACTACTCCTTCGTGAGCCAAATGTCCCTTCTAGTAATATCATCTATCCTGTTCTTCGGCCGGTTGTTAATGACCGCTTTCCATCTAAAGTATTTTCCTTTATTCTTTTTCTAATGCATCCAGTCCAACTATCCCTCTCTCAATCTCTTGTACTGATGTTTCGCAACCACCTTCCTCAGCGGGGACAAAGTTCGGGTTTTTTTCCAGAACCTGCTTAATTTTCATTGGTATTTCTATGTGGTCCATACGTAGAAGGTACTAAGGTTCTTCCTATTATCTCTTCTTACTTGCTTGTGAATAATCCATTTAAACTTTTTCACATGTTGCTTATTGGAATTCCCACAAACAGCTTCTGCCAACTCCACCACCCTTTTATTGATATCAATTAGTTTGGCCGGATCATCATTATATATGGTGTCCTCCAAGCAAATAAGCTGACTCAATATCCCATGCTTTTTGTTTCTGGCTAATGGACTTTTTGAGGCACTCCAAACAGAACCTAATTTTTAGAGAACGGCATTCCGTAGGAATGCTAATTCGGTAAATCGACATGGAATACACCTTATTCTTTAAACATTCTTTTAAAAACTCCAATTTACAACTAGCTTTAACAAGCTTTAACGTCAACTTCCTATATCTCTTGCAAGTTTCCACCGGTGCTGCTATAAAAACAATATCAATAATTGCTGAGCGCTTTTGACGCCATTACTACGAATGCAAACCGAAAGTTACGTCATTTCAATTCAAATATCCTCCACAAATGTATTAGATGATAGGCATAACTCTATTGTTACAGGAAAAGTATGATGTACAGGAAAAAGCCACTACTAATTTGAGGTGAGGAGAGCGTGTCTTTGAAATGAAATAAATTTAATATAAAAATTTCAGCCTAGGACTTTGACCATGTTATAATCCATAATTACTTGTTTACGTATATCTTACCTTTACTTTTAACGTTAAGATAAATACTTATTAACTGTATATATTTATATTCCTACAGTCATATAAATTGTTTAATTATCTTTCTCTTCAGACCACAGTTCGTTATGTTATTACAAAAAAACGAAGAAGGGCCTGTAGTGTTAATTATAGATAAAAAGTTAAAATAATTATTAAGTAAATTTCGTGAGCGTAGTAGGAACATTACTTAAGGTTCTTTTTACTATGCCCCTTTCATACTTCTTAAGCATTTCTACAATTACACTCTTTCTGTAACCTAGGGTCCGGGCCACCTGCAATACTCCATAAATCTCCTTCGCCCTGTCACCGACTCGGTCACAATATAAATAAGCTCTCCTTATTAACGCTCGGAAGGCTGCCATCTTATACCGGGTCCAGGGACTGGGAGGGTATATACAATGGGATGTGTATAGGTTTAATATAAACGCTTGTGGACAAATGCCCTTTCATGAACAGGTATTAATGTCCAAGAAGTGCACATTCAAGAAACTCTTTTGTTTTAATCTCAATTTAAGTCCATCTTTGTTACCATTGATTCTACTCATAAATTCATGCACCCTACTTATATTTCTCCATAAGATAAGGATGTCATCCACATACCTGCTGAAATATACGATATCTTGTTTGAAACTATGAAGAACCCTTCTTTCTAGTCTTCTAACAACTAACAACTAATTCACAAAGGATTCCTGAGAAGGGACTTCCCATCGGAACACCTCTTTTTTGTCTGTAGACCTGACCAGAAAAGGTGAAGTACGACTCATAGCATACTAGGTTAGCCAGTTATTCTAGCTCGTGGGTGTAAAGAAGCAACTGGGAGTTCATTATGTACAAGAAATCTAATAACGCATCCAAGGAAGACTCAATCATTACTGAAGGATACATGCTCTCATAATCTAAAACTGTCGCCACTTCATCTTCCATTAAAGATATACCTTGTATTTCCTTGACAAAAACAAGAGGATCCTGTGCCACTAAGACTATCAGCATCAAAGTGTGAGGATAAATACTCGTCCAACCTTTTTTCTAATATAAAGGTGGGTCCTCTGCATTTCTCTATAACTGGCCTTAACTCCATTCCGGTCTTGTAAGTCTTAGCGAAAGCAAACAATCTTGGAGTTCCGGGCCTTGGGTTCTGGCATTTCTTGAGAAAAGGTAAAACAGCAAAAAGTCCCTAGAGTTCCAGCTTCCTGGCCCTTCTGTCTAAAAATCCAACTACTTTGTCGCCAACAATTTCACATTCCGTCTTTTTGATGTAATTATGCAACTTCTTGTTATAAGTATGCCTTCTCATGATAACCAAATGCTTAGTCTTGTCTGCTGTTGTCATCACGAGATCATTTATCTTTAACTACTCCTTCGTGAGCCAAATGTCCTTTCTAGTAATATCATCTATCCTGTTCTTCGGCCGGTTGTTAATGACCGCTTTCCATCTAAAGTATTTTCCTTTATTCTTTTTCTAATGCATCCAGTCCAACTATCCCTCTCTCAATCTCTTGTACTGATGTTTCGCAACCACCTTCCTCAGCGGGGACAAAGTTCGGGTTTTTTTCCAGAACCTGCTTAATTTTCATTGGTATTTCTATGTGGTCCATACGTAGAAGGTACTAAGGTTCTTCCTATTATCTCTTCTTACTTGCTTGTGAATAATCCATTTAAACTTTTTCACATGTTGCTTATTGGAATTCCCACAAACAGCTTCTGCCAACTCCACCACCCTTTTATTGATATCAATTAGTTTGGCCGGATCATCATTATATATGGTGTCCTCCAAGCAAATAAGCTGACTCAATATCCCATGCTTTTTGTTTCTGGCTAATGGACTTTTTGAGGCACTCCAAACAGAACCTAATTTTTAGAGAACGGCATTCCGTAGGAATGCTAATTCGGTAAATCGACATGGAATACACCTTATTCTTTAAACATTCTTTTAAAAACTCCAATTTACAACTAGCTTTAACAAGCTTTAACGTCAACTTCCTATATCTCTTGCAAGTTTCCACCGGTGCTGCTATAAAAACAATATCAATAATTGCTGAGCGCTTTTGACGCCATTACTACGAATGCAAACCGAAAGTTACGTCATTTCAATTCAAATATCCTCCACAAATGTATTAGATGATAGGCATAACTCTATTGTTACAGGAAAAGTATGATGTACAGGAAAAAGCCACTACTAATTTGAGGTGAGGAGAGCGTGTCTTTGAAATGAAATAAAGTTAATATAAAAATTTCAGCCTAGGACTTTGACCATGTTATAATCCATAATTACTTGTTTACGTATATCTTACCTTTACTTTTAACGTTAAGATAAATACTTATTAACTGTATATATTTATATTCCTACAGTCATATAAATTGTTTAATTATCTTTCTCTTCAGACCACAGTTCGTTATGTTATTACAAAAAAACGAAGAAGGGCCTGTAGTGTTAATTATAGATAAAAAGTTAAAATAATTATTAAAATAATCGTACAAAATATAATTTATATTTATTATAGACTATAAAAGAGATGAATTTCGTGTTATAAAATATGACACGTTCTTATATCACGTGACGCCAGTATAGTACAGCAAGAAAAAATAACGAATACTTCTCAATGAAGGAATTGAAGTACAGTAAAGCGTTGTTTATTCGAATCAATTGGGGACTGGGGTTCTTCGGATAACTTATTTTTCGGATAACCGATTATGCACGAAAAAATATATTAACCTATCCCGTGTTAAAAGTTTTCTCCGTTGCGTGTCGCTTCGCGTTGAATTTTCGTCGATGTTAAGCCTAACGTAAACTTTTTAAAATAGAAATCGTGGCTATTGTATCGTTAAAAATGATTTCTGTATGTTTTACAAACGAAATAAATACATTGAAAAATATAAAAACAAATAAAAATTATACTTTAGGCGGACTGGAATTCTTTCGGATAACCGACGCTCTACTGTATTCCAATTCTTCCATAATTAGTTGTTATATGTAATCCATTATATATTATTTAACTTTTTTGTGAGTGTTATATTGCTTGTGTTGCTGCCTCTTCTGATCAGAGGAAACACACTAGTTCCTATCTGTTACGTCTGCAGTTAGTTCCATTCATTCGTTATGGAATGATGTCAGCGCGAATGGGACAACAGTAATTACTGATCTACATATCCACGATTACATGCTTCAAGTAAAACAAAGGATTCTTCACAGCTACTTGGAAACAACTTTTTCTGTAACACAGATCTTAAATGCACACGGCAATTTCAATCACTAATAATTATTCGATTCTCAAATCAATTAATTGCTCATTTACTTATTAATAGCGAGCAGACTGTGAATCAATAATCTAGTAGTTAAATGGATTCATCAATAAAAAGAAAAAATTCTTTAAAAATGCTGGAAGAAATCAGGAGATAAGTATTAAAACAGATGTTATCTCTCAATAAAGTGAATATTTTTTAACTTTTATCATAATACTCGTAAAAATATTATTTTATTCTTTGAGATACAAAATGAAATTTTACATTATTCATATCACGTAAAATATATTGTTTTATTGTAAATTAAAACATATGCATTTTTATCACATATTTTTTTATTTCAGAAGGAAATGGAATCGAATTACGTATGGAAAATTGCAGGAATCGATGTAAATTTATTTATTTTTAAAAGTTATGTAGAACTATACAATTCAGTTAAAGTTTTATTGATTATTTAGGAGCCTATGTGGATAAACGTGAATCAATCTAACAATCAAATAATTTGGGCACTTCGGTTTTATGTATTTAAAATGCTTCAGGAAAAATTAAAATTTAGGTAAAATTAAACGAGTTTAATATTTTTATAAAAATGAGACTGTAGAACAGATTATCGATTTAATAAAATTACGAAAAATTGAAATTTTTATAGGTATGAAGTCATTCAACCCATGCCAAAAACAGTTCTACAAAGGCATTCGAATGGAAGTTATTATGGAATGATAGCCCAGATAATTAATAAGGTATTTCTAGTTAACCATTTATTTATACTTATAATTATTCACGTTCTATGAATTTGCATATTGTAATTATTTTTCTGATAGGAAGCGGACATGTCCGCTATTCCTCTGTATCTGGAAAAGGATGTCTTCGACTTGGCTGATTATTCTTCGATTACTCATATGACACCGATACATTTTATAATCAAAGAACAGAAATTGAAGCCGAATTGGAAAACCATTTTTAGACCATTTACATTCGAGGTAAACGATAATACAATTCTATAACAACGTGATTTATCTTTTTTTTTTCTATTTGATAATCTTAAATCGTGTTGTGACTCTTCTTTGATTCATAAACACTATGTAGTGTAATAAATTTCCAACATTTGGAGTCCTATCATCTTTATTTAATTTAGTTGATACTAAACTGAATCTGAACTTATCAACGGAATAGAATCAAAATTTCTATCTACATCTTCATTCAGGATATTTCAAAGTACCATATATATTTTTTCAAGAATGTTTCTTCAAAAATGTGAATCTAAGATGTAGTTGTTTTCTGTACACTGTTATGTTTGTTTCAAGACTTGTGTGGTGCAGTAAGTTTGGTTGATAAACTCGTTCATTTTTATTGTACATTTTATTGGTTAGCGTGGTTTTCTAGCTTTAGTGGTCTGTGAATGCATTGCCACAGAAACACCTAGGCTAGGTTGGTACCTCACGTCTGTCGAGGGCATTGCAATAGCTTTGCTCGGGCCGGCGCTGCCTTTGCCACCAAGGGAGACTGTTGCCTATTTTTCTAACGTAAGACTATGCTTAACTCACGACCGCGGATCTTGTTAACTCGAGCGATGTCCGAGCGGTATCACACTTTGATCTGGTTAGTACCATGATAAATATCACCATAGAATATGGGTGTGGTCACTGTTAGTTTCATTTCTCCCCATAGACTTTATTGGCGTGAGTGTTTCTACCAGGAGCTTGTGCTCCAGACTGCATTGCTCTATGGATCAGTAAAATTACTGGGCTCTCCTACCACGACTAGGTAGTGACAACGGGAGAGTTAATAGATTCATCAATTCTTTAATTATTTCTCTTAGATGTATTTAGAAAAAACTTTTTTACAAACGTTGGATGTGAGGTTTTTCAAATATTATCTGTGCAATTGCATTTTTATTCTTTATAACATTTTTTTTACGAAAATCGTTCATTAATACTGCAATGTTTCCTTTATATTCATTGTCGATTTCTTGAGAATTTATTAAAATATTACTTTTTAAAGTAATATAGATTTTAAAGCTATTTTACCCTAAGAACTATTAGGAATTTCATTTGATAATCTGTAAATATTAATTTTTCTTCGTTGATTTAAATACGTAGTTATCACTACAGAAAGATTCTATTCTGCCATCGATTTGGAAGACTTTTTTACACTAAAATTACATTCATGTGTTTTATTCTGTGGTAATTTCAATTATGCTGCTTTATTGCAAGCCGGTTATATTCGCGAATACGTTTTACTAGAAATACTGAGTATTAATAAGTTTTTTAAATTTTTTCTTTTGCTTAATATTAGATTTTCATATTGTGGTAATGATGATGATATCAAATATATCTTTTTTTTCACCACATACATTCTATTTTAAGGCAAATTTTGGTTATTGAATATGTTAGATATAAATTATAATATTGTAAAGTTAATTTTTTTTTAATCTTACAACGAAATTTTTAATATAATACCATATATTAAATAATATATATATATATATATACTTTAAAAATATTATTTCAGGTATGGTTGACAATCTTAATATCGATTGTATTAACTGGGACTATTTTGTCTCATATTATGAAGAGAGCAAATTACTTACATGGATCAAGGAAATATTGGTCAGTAAAAGAAAGCATTTGGCATTTGTTTTCAAATATCACTCTACAAGGTATATTTTATTTTCTTCCATTTTTTAAGCTATAAAATTAATTTTAGAACAAGAACGTACATTTCATTTTGAAATGTTTAGGAATTAATTTAGATCGCATTGTTCAAGTTTCATCAAGGATTATAATCGGAGTTTGGCTGATTACAGTAGTAGTCGTGGGATACGGCTACAGTGGAATTCTGATATCTTTTCTAACTGCTCCGAATTACGAATGGACACCAAGAAATTACCATGAATTAGTTTCTGCAGTAGAAAGTGGCGACTTCTCCTGCGGTATAAATATTCATGCGAAAAACTTGCATTTTAAGGTAATAAGATAATTTCGGATTTATGTGTGATAGATGAAATATAACCGATTAAAGTAGTATAAACGATACTTTCCAAGGCTTAAATATTACTGATTTTCACTTTTCTTCAATATTATCAGATTATCGACAAAATTTATGTTATTTAAATATGAGAATATTATTAAATTGAAGATAATTTATGACGGAACTAAACTTTTTTATTGTGAAAATATGATATTTTCTAACAATTTTGGGCATATTTGTGCAATATTTATTTCTTAGCAATGAATTCTTAGAAAATAGCATTATAAACTAGCAATCGACCAGTTCCAAATATTTTAAAGGGAAAAGAATAGATTTTGCCAATTCGCATATTGCTAAATTCGGAGTATTAAAGTCTAGCAACGAGTTGCGTAACTTTTCCGGTTATTATGAGATTTAATTTTACATATAATATTTGTATCAATAACAAGTTATCACTTTCTATCTCTACATTCCCTTTCTCTTTCAAAGCAAAAATATAATTACCTTAATGTTATTTACATACATGCTACTACGTCAAAATTCGTTCCTTCATTTTCAACCCGTACTGAGATATAAAGGGAAATGGACGACCAGACACAGACATATTCACGGTTTTTTTCCAGTTTTTTTTTGGTTCAGGAGGTTTCAAAAGATGGAAATTTGCAAAAACCTCGGAGAATAAAATTTAACACGATGCCTATTATTTCCTTTCTTATGTTTATATAACAGCCGGAAAAGTAACAAAAGATACACAACATTTACCAGAAAGAACAACTGCAGATGCTTTTTTAAAACGTTTTATTTTTAAAAACATTTTACGTCTAAATTATCCACGGAAAGTGAACTCAGGAAAATAAGTTCGGCCTCATTGCACAATTCTAAGTAGCTAGAAAATTTTAACGTTGAAAGAAAACATTGCAGACTGAAATTCATCGAACAGATACTCAGGCTGTTGGTAAATGCCAAGGGCTGAACTGGACCTTGTTAATTACAGACGTCCACATTGCAAACACTGAATAATTGTCTTCGTGTAAAATTGAGAGATGTGTATCTATCACTCAAACAGTTTCTCGTGTGCTGGATGATTTTAAGATTTTTACAGTGTTGCAGGTTTCTTCCTTAATTTCAAAAGTTTAGAGCATATTTGAAGTTGAAGCCGAAACTTTACCGTATGTTGAAGCGAGCATAGAAACTGTGCAGCAATGACTCTAAAACGACATCAGGTAGAAAAAAGCTTTTTTCTGTTTTAAAACTTCTAATTACTTATATTGTCACTTTTTTCGTCTGTTCGTCTGACTGTTATTCCTCAATCGGGAAAACTTAGTGAGATAGGAAAACATCGAAAATACATATAAAATCATTAGGGAAGGGAAACCATTATTAACTTTAAAAAACTTTCGTTGCAAACCGAAAGTCATATTATTTCAATTCAAAAATTTCGAATTTATTAAATTTTAATTGAATTTAAATTAACTTTTACAGGAAAATGAATCTGGAATGTGGAAAACGTTGGGCGATCATATTAATCGAAAAGACAATTACTTGACTGTAAAGAATTCTATCGAAAAAATAAATAGCGGTCGTTTCGCGTTAATAGAAAGTATTGGTATGATAAACAAGATCATCAGAAAAGAACTGGATGGAAAAATAATTATAAGTGAGGACGTGCTTTCAACGTATTCTGTGGGCTATGTCCTAAGAAAAAACTTTTTGTATAAGAAAAACATTAATAAAGCGTACGGTTAATTCATCTTACTTTGTTAATAAAAATATTACATTCTTTGTAAATTCATTTTTAAATTAATTGTTTATTTATTTGCAGCATACGTCGTTTCCAAGAAAGTGGAATAATTGATTTCCTTAAAAGGAAAGAAGAAACAATTCCGATATATGAAATGGACAATGTTGCACCATTAAACTGCAATGAACTCTTAGGGAGTTTTATTCTTCTCATTACAGGTTATGTATTGTCTATGATTTGCTTTGTCAGAGAATTAGTCGTGAGAAAGTTAAAACCGATTTCAACACTACATTAGATGAGCATTCATAAGTACTTTGCAAGTCCTGTGCTATCACTGATAATTAAATATTTCACTTTGTTTATCTTTATCTTTTCACTGAAGCTATAGTATTACATACTTTTCTTATGGATATGAGTAATCAAATTAAGGAAAATAAATTTTGACAGCAATTAATTATTTTCTATTAATTTGTACAGAAAAATATTCCGAATGATACTGGAAGGTGGAATAAGATAGAAGAAAGAGGCAAGGCAAATATACGCTGCATTTCACAAAATTAAGTGCTGTAACTTAGTAATAAATACCGCAACCAAACCTTTACACTAGCAAAATTTACATGGAGATAATACAACTGTTTTTCCAGTACTCATCATCTCTGTCTTTCGCAGCTGGACAGTTGGGTATTGATATAATTTCTTAGTTTTTAAAACGGTCGAATGTAAATAGTGTATTAATTTGAATTCTTAGATTATTTCTATCAACAGAGAATTGTTTTACGTTTAGGCGATTTTGTAAAGATTTCATTAATACCATTGATGAATAATACCATTGATACCAAAGATTTCATTGATACCATGCAAATCTTTCAAACGGGATATTAGAAAAAATGGGGAAGTGTTATGTATAACAAGTCGGATTTACGTTAATATTCTGTCATAAAATAAAACAAAACAGTAATAACATAAAAGAAACTTAGAAAGGAAAAAAAAAAACAGAAAAATTACTCAACCTGAAAGAGCATTAACGAAAATGTATTTAAAACGTTTCGAACGGTAAAGATATCGATAGCATTCACTGTATATATTTGTATTCTAATGCAACTGAAGGCGGTATATGCAGTGTAATATGCCATCGAAAATGACACTGTCATGAGTAGATGAAGAACGTGATAATGATGAAGTTCAACAGATTTGCACTTTAAGTCTTCGAGAGAAATGGATCGATTATTACAAATATGTCTATAATAAATTTTAAATATTGTGTAGTTCATAGTTAGTTGTATTGTTAATAATTATAAAAAGCTTTAATATGAACTATTCCATATCTCCTCAACACACGTTTTAAATCCATCTAGAAGACAAGGCAGAGTATTTCAAATTATTTCATAAACATTGTAAGTTAAGATAAATATTAGTAATTTGAGTATTTATTGATTATATTTGAAGCATAAAATCTTGATTATTGAATGACAGACAATTCTTTTTTTAAGTTTAAAGATTTAATTATGGAAAATTAAACCTTTTTTGTTTACCTCGACTTACCCTAACTTTCAATTTCTTTTCAGTTTAAAAAGTTTATATAAAAATTTTCTTTAATATAATTTTAGATTTTACAATATAATTAGAAATTTTTACTAATGTAAATTTATTGTGTCTTAGTGCAATAGAAAAACTCGATACTTTTTACAATTTACGTTTCTAGTAAAATAGTCAGTAAATGATGCCATTGTATTGTCTTTTACAAAAGAAACGGATTTAAGCTGAAATTGAATTTTTATTTCACATTTTGACAGAACTTTAAATAATTCTAATGTTATATAAATAACCCGAACTAGACACGTACCGTATCATTGGCTATTGTTTACTATTATTCGATAATGTACATTTTAAAGATATAATGTAAGTCCAAATAACCATCCTGCTGAATCTACTGCTTGTATGATGTTAGCCATTGAAAAGAATCAGAAATATTGTTATTCAGGTTAATTCCTCGTCACTTAATCCATCGATCACCAACTAAAAATTTTTTGTAAAGTTTCTATTAGATTGGAATTTGTAAAACACCAGAGACTTGTTTTCAGTAAAAAAGTAACTATGGAAGAACAGAATCAATTATTCCATCATTGGTTTTCAAAATATTTCATGGTCAAATAAGTGATCTCTAGACACTTGATAATCACTTTATTGAAAAGATCGAACTGGAGGGTGAATGATTTTCATTTAGCAACAGGCTTTGTCGATTTTATTGCTTTATAAACTTTTGCATTATCGCGCATTCACACACCGCCTTGCTTTAGTTTATAATCGTAATAAATCGCCATATGTGATGCAGAAGTAGTAGTGTCTATTCATAGTCATTCCATCACGTGAAAATTCACGTGGACTAAACCAGTATAACTACCGAAGTCCAATGTATTAAATTTACTGGCCATGGAATAGTGCAGTTCTTCTTGCGGAATGGTTGCACCATTGAAATCCTATGTTTAATGATAATTTTGAAGTGATTGGTTATCAGTTTTCCTTCACAGCTATAGATTTTCTAAATAAAACTTCAATGTTGAATTTTCCGTAAGTATAATTGAAGTTGATCTACCAGTGGCCAAGCGGTTTCGTTCCGCGAACACTGGGGGTTCAGTCTTGGGTTTGCACCTTTCCCGAACAGGCTGGCCACGTGGAGTTTTCCGGGTTTTCTCCACGTCTATAACGCCTGAATAGGGGCCAGTTACCCTTAAAAGACCTCCCGGAAGGCATTATTTCTCTCGTAACAACCATCACAAACGTATACAACTGTAAACTATTTCAATCTTATTTCTGTCTTAATAATTTATTTAAAAATAACACTCATTATTGTAAAATACTACAAATTTACGAAGTAAAACAGTTGATTACTGTAAGACAAAATCAGTATGTTTATAAACCGTAGGAAATTGTTATTAAGTTGTAAATTAAATAATAAATAAAATAATGAATTAATTGTTTTATCCTAAATATTGCTCATTGTACTGTATGTAAGATAAAAGTTAACGTAAAAAATGTTTTAATAAAGCAATTATTAAATGAATATTTTTAAAAGTTTTCTATTGCTTGTGTCAATAATTTGTCATTATTTTAAATTTGTAAATTACGTAAGTCAGTAGATAAAATACAAAAAAGCAATTTTTTTAAATTTGCATAGTATAAAATTTTAAAAATCAAATTGTTAAAGGTCTCTAAGAGATAAAGAATATTGTACAGATTTAACAGCTAATATGATTATATCATTAGGCTGTAATTTTCAAATTATAGACCTAGCACTCTTTCTGTCATCTGAGGATGTGTCAATCTCTTTGTTTGCCTATTCTATCCTTCGTTAGGATTGCCAAATTTGATAACACTCGAGGCCCTCACAACCTATCTAACACGGATCACATCTAATCTTTATTATCAACAATAAGAATTCTGTATTTATAAGAATCTGAAATACGTGTTACACAGTATTATGATCAATTGTTTCGTAATTTATAGAGTTTTAAATTTTCTAAAAAAATATCTCTTTCTTATATCGTTTTTCGACTATCATTCTTATACCGAATTTAGGACGAAGAATGACGTGAGCAGATTGAAAAATCTTATCTCTATGGTCCAAAGACTTCACTCGAAAATGCCGAATAACATTGGCTAAAACTGTCTTCATCTCCATCATGGCAAATTTTTGACCTGGACAAAGGGGAAACCGTCAGAAACACAAGAAAATCTTTGTCTCGTGTCACAATTACTCATCTATACAATTGCGTGGACCGGTAGAGAATTGTAAAATAGCATAGAGATGACGGTTCTCGCAGTTTTCTGGCAAAAATGGATCAGGATCGGGATATACTTCGGGATATACGAAAACCGTTGGATTATGATGAATCCCGTAGATGTTTATTACAAGGGATGATTTTGCTGGCAAGATATAATCACCTAAAAAAATTTAATAGTTTTCAATTATGCCATTGTTGTAAAGTGTATTTATTCTCAGAATGCGATACGTACCCACTGTAAAATCGGATGGATTCTTTCTCAATATGAATGGAACCGAAGAATAGATCATGAGTGTCTCCAGAAATTACTTTAATATTTCAAAATACTTGTCGAGTATTTCATAACTTAATTAACTTCTGTATTGTCTAACAGAATTATCAAATTATAAAGAAAATTTGACGATCTTGTATACCTTTCCTTAAAACATGAGTGGTTTTTAGCTTTAGTAACAGTTTTAGATTCCTAAGTTATATTACAAATGGATTATATTTATTTAAATAACTGTGAAAATCTAAGAGCCAATTATTTATTTAAAACTTAAAACTTAACAAACAGGAAACCTTTTTTTCTTTTGTTAGAAATCATGAATCACAGAGCTTTAAATATTCTTTGATCAGACTGGTTGGTTATTCTTAATACCTTTTTTTTAGATTTATTACATCTACCATCCTCCTTTGACCGATATAAAAATTTTAAAAAATAATATGTATCATCGGGTTTTATAAGAAAAAGATGCCTAATTTTCCTGAGACAGTCTGCTGCAATCCGGAAAATTCGACTGTCTAATTGTCGTTGAGTGAAATACTTCTTCTAAAATAAATATCACAGTAAACATTGTAAGTTATAGTATAACGGCATACATAGATACTAACCGTAATAATAAAAACAAATTGAAAAAACATACATTCTTCCATTATCGTCTGATCGGGTAATATTATTTTTTATGTATTCGTCTTTCCGTGTTCTACTTATACTTTCCATATACAGTTCCATTTAATTTTATCTAATTTATATTTAAAAGGTAATAAAATCTACCTTCAAATTAATTTGCTAATAAAAAGAATTTACTTTTTAATAGAACAAAAGAATGTCGGTGAACTTCTTCGTATTTAACCTATGAAGTCTCATCAATTTTTTTCAAGAAATATTTTTTAAAAAATTGATTTTTTAAAAGAATATAATAGAACTTTCTATTCTACTTTGACATTTCTCTACTAAATCAGTAATGCTTACAGACTGTAAGAAAAATCGATGATTCGAAATAAGTACTAGATAATTAAATTATATGTTCAAATAAATAAGTATAATACATACCTTGAATTAGAAGCATTATATTTAAACAAAGATCGGTTATCAGTAATTGCCGAGAATTAAATGTTTTTAAACTTTTTTTCTATATAGTAGAATATCGTAAAACCAGTTTTAAATTTACAGTAAACATCGCACTTTTTATCTTTAAAAAATAACACAGAATAT